CTGTGAGAAGAGAAGAGAGAAAACTCAATTTCAATTAGGGCAAATTACCACCTACTGAAACACTGTGAGAGAAAATTATTATGCAGAAGCTAGTGGACAAATGTGTGATCTTTGCCGGACTACAAGAGTGTCTCGCTTGGCAAAGAAATCGAATTGATGCCATTTGTTTGTATACGGGAAAGCCCCAGAGTAAAAAGGCCCTTCGTCGTAGGACGGAGTTGCTTAAATTTTTTACTCTCCAGATTGAAGAGATGATGGATCAAGTGAAGAAGATGGGACGAAATTTTAGTGTGAAAGAATTGAAGCATGTGGGAACTCCATCTGAAGAGGAGAAAGAAATCCAACGCCTTTGCCCAGTTAGAAGAAACCCATAACCAAACGCGAATATAAAGTTTTCCAGCGAGGAGGAGGATGAGGTTGTCCTAGATAAGCATATCCAATGTCTTGTCTCTCGGATTGATAAACAATCCCGTGTTATTGAGGAAAAACACAAGGAGTTTCCTCCAAAGACAACATATGAGGATTTCGAAAGGTGATTCTGCTCCAAGCCCATTGTGACCCAAATGCTTTCCCCCTCAGATGAAGAGCTTATACGAAGGGATGCGACTATGTTTGAGAATCAAATCTCTTCTCTGAAGATTATGCAGAAGTACATCCAGTCTCTGGTGGTGAATGCAAGTCGTGCTTGTTAAGCTGCTTTGAATTGGCAGTTTTGTTTACTGTATTCTTAAGAGACTTCTAGAGAGTAGTTTTGAATCTGTTTATACTGCTTGAGTCTATCTCTACTGCTCTTTAAACTGTTCTGGAAACTGGACACTTAATCTTTATTTAGTTTTTTTTATTTTGAAAAAAAAATCAATGTAATAAGTTTAAATTAGGTATAAATTATACTTCTTCTACTTGGTCCCATGACTTCTTCAAGAGGTATTGTTCTTGTCAATACTGCTAGGCCGCAAACATTAAATTTCAAAATTTAAAAAACTACATATGGAGACATCAAATAATTGTACAACACATGCTGAACAATCAATGATATCGTTAATTTGATTAGAAATAAATTGAGATATGAAAGAAGGTAAATTATGCTCCCTCTTAAGTTAATGGTTTGCAAAAAACAGACATTATCTCGGCATGGTGTGGATTACATAGTATTAGGATATTAGCTTGTGATATAAAACACAATAAGAAATTGTAATGAACGAAAATCAAGTATAAAAAGTACAAAGTGTACAATTTTTCGTAAAAAGTTGTCATGACTGGCTAATAACTTGAAGGTTATACCTTGATTCATGTTCTTTCAATGACTCATGATTCTTTAAGTATTTTTTTATATATAGGTAACTAGTGAAAATTTTAACTAAGCATTTTTGTATTTCTAAATTCTTGAAGAACATGGAAAATTATAAAATCGCATGTATTTGTGTAATGTGAAATGTGTTTTTATGCATTTCTTAGATTAAAGGAATGTAAAAAGGCATTGCTAATTATTATTGTTTAATCCACTAAAATTGACTTGTGAAGTTTTTAAAACTAATTGTATTGAAAAATCTAGAGTTATAGCAACATTGTAATTAGATTACATGTTAGCATGTAGAACCCTAGTCTAAAATTTCTCTACTTGGTAAAATAAAATGATACTTCACATACAACAAATTATGGCTAGAAATATCAAACTCTATCTGTCATGGTAATGTAATGCTAGTGAGTTTTTGTAGCCAAAAGTTTGCAGAGTTAATAGATTTTAAATGTTTGTCATGTGCATAATTGAGCTCTCTAAAGACTAAAGTGTCTCCATATGGAATATGAAAGGGAAGAAAAATATACTATCAAATGCGAAAATTTGAGGTTTTGCACAATACATTGTTGTATTCCAAGTTGGGATCTAGTGCAACGACTGTTTTTAAATCGCCCAAAAGAAAATCAACTTAAACTAGTAGATAGATAGAATGTCGGGTAACTATAGAATCGTTTACAATTTAGAAACCAAGAGGTTTGTTAGATGATACATTAGTTACTTGTTTTAGAAATTTTAAGAAACGAATTTTTAAATGAATCTATATCCATTGGTTATATTATTACATTAGAATCAATGACAAGTAGCTGCCATTTGATTAAAGTTAGTAAAGATGGTGTTTATGAATACGTGATATAGCATATAACAAATTTAGAAGATATAGGTATAAGCACACACACACATATAGGTACCCTTTTTCCCCAAAAAAAAAAAAGAAAGAAAAAAAAGCCAAGTGGCATGGATGTTTTAGCGTTTATATCGTTTATATACCGCTACTTAACTTTTCTTGGTCCCACCTAGAAACATAATAATAGATAATGTAACTTTAAACTTTCACATTGGATAGCATAATTTATTTCCTTCCATATTCAACGAGTATTTGATACACGGATATTTGGGATCTTCTGTCTTTTTCTTTTTTTCATGATTTTGACTTATTTCTTACACCATATTCTTGTCAAATTAATAATTACTATTCTATAATGATAAATGAATATTAAATCCGGAAGAGAGTTAAAACTTGTCTTAAAAACACAAGTTTATTGATCGGATACAATCCTAGTTTGATCATGTATTCACAACCTATTGACACGATAGGTTACAATACGATATAATCACTTATTAAATGATCTAATCACATATTAAATGATAATTTGTTGATCTTTATTCTTTCAACTTTTCTATTTTAATTAATTCATATGTGAGTTATCACTTTGATGATACAATTCTTCTTCAATCTTATACTATTGACTAGTTTAAAACTGAAAAAGAAAACGAAATTGTGTTGGCGGATGGTTGATTTTCACATTAATAATGCAGATATTGTACTTGTTCCTTCATTTTTTCTTCTCGACTTAATTCTTGTTCCATATTCATAACAAATATAATTAGTATGTTGTAATATTAATTGAACATTGAATCTGCCAAAAAAAATTAAATTTATTTTTAGAACACAAGTATAATTTCACAATGCAATTATATGTCGTATGATGATTTTGTGATAAGGTGTTCAATACTTCTTTATTGTTTCAACTTTACCATTACATTAAATTCATTTCCAAATCATCATTTCCACCGTACCATTGTAGTTTAATTAGGTATTTATCAACTAACTTAAAACTGAAAGAAAAAACAAAAGTTCTATAGGCGGGGTAACTGACCTTCACATTAAAAATGCGGTTATTGAGGGATATGATATCTTGTTTTCATGATTTTACTTACTTTTTGACTAGTGTGTGTCCCGGGCTTTGCACGGTTTTGTCAATGTTTAAAATTTATATTTCAAAAGAATTGATTAGATAATGTAGTTACAAATATACCGTCCTTATTCTCTTAAAAAAATCTAGTTACTAATATTTCTTAAAACTGTAATATTTTTTTGATTAATTAGTTTTAGATCAAAATGAGAGGTATTGATATTATTTATAAGAGGTATATTTGTAATACTTGGTAAGAAATATTACAACAAAGATTTTCAAAAGTGTATAATAAAAATTGTCACCACTAACGAATGTTATGTTTGGTTTAAAAAATATATTTAAAAAATGCGTAAATTATGTCTAGATGCATATGTTCTATTTTTATAGACAAGTGGACTTTGGGGATTAGATTTAGTTCTAATAAAATATGAGACACAATTAATCGTCCTTAAAAATATAAAATCGATAAATTTGAAAACTAAATAGCACACAAATAGAACTTTAAGAGCCAAAATGACAATAGGTTGAAAGTTTAAACTCGTGAATGAAAGTACTTTTGAAGTCGAGAGTTTCTCAGCAATTTTCAAAAATATTTATTTTCAAACTCACAATCAGGAATTTGTAATATCTGTAAAAATCTTATATACTCCCTCCATCCCATAAAAATAGTCCAGTTTGAAAAACTTTATAATTTTTTTAATTTGGTCAACGCACCAAATGTACAACGCATTTCATTCTCCTAACTTCCACTGATGCCCCTTTTAGTTATTTATATAAAAGTTAACTACATATGCATTTATTTTACAACTTAAATTTAATAAAAATTTTTATCTCAAAAAATATTGACAATGGATCTTGATGGAAAGATCTCGTTACGTAGATTAATTTTATATATAACACATTTTTAATTATTCATGTATTAAAAAATATAATCATTTGAAAAAATAAGAGAAAACTAAAAAAAATGAAAATCAAAGGAAGTGGACCTTGTTTTTCATACCACTATTCTTTTGGATATTTAAGTCATTTTAATTCAATGAATTTTGACTTTTATTAAACTTGACTATTTTTTCAGGACAAGATTTTTTATTAAATTGGATTATTTTTGTGGGACAGAGGGAATAGTAAATAATTTATTAACTGTTTATAAAAAATTTTAATTGATTAATGATCAACCAATTAGCAAACGACACGTGTTAATTGAGACTTGATAGTCTCAATTAGCGACACGTGTCGATTATCTTTCTTTCCTTTAATATATATAATGATATAATGATTATGATCGTAAATCCGTGATGATTTACCTACTATTGTGATTTGTAAGTTATAGTGAGTTTGCATTTAGCAACTTAAAAACTTGTTTTTCAAATGAAAGAGATCAGCTGAAATTATAAATGTAAAAAATTATTTTTACTACGAGATGACGACGATTTAAAATATGTTTTTGGGCGATTTATATTTCTAAAATTCATTATTTTCTAGATTTATAACAAAAATCAAATTGTAGCATTCCCAAGGGGACCCACAAAATTTTCAAAAATTAGTTTACTGGCCCCATTCAGAACGTCGCCACTCTGTGTTGACTTGTACACTTACCTAACACTTAACGTTTCCCCCAATGCGCAGCTCTAATTTTCCCACCAACCACCGTCTCCGCCACCCTTAGCTTTCTTCGTCACTCCGGCGGACTTCCCCATAGAAAATCCTCCGAATCTCCAAAACCCAGTAACAATATATTCAAATCCCTCCACCATTTTCATTGAAGCTCTTCTCACATCCGAAGAAACATGGCACTAGCACCAACTCCGCTTTCGAAACCATTTTTCTCGACTAAACCGGCCGCCTCCAAATCACCCCTGTTTTCCCTCCCTGGCGCCGCCTCCCGGAAAGTTCAATCCAGGCCTAATGTTGTTATCCGGAGCTCCATTTCTACCGCCCCAACTTCAGCTGCTGTGTCGAAGGCCTCAGCTAAAATAAAGTCGGTGAAAGCTAGGCAGATCATTGACAGCAGGGGAAATCCGACTGTTGAGGTTGACCTTGTAACCGACGGCGCTGATGGTCAGCTTTATAGATCGGCTGTTCCGAGTGGGGCCTCCACTGGGATCTATGAGGCCTTGGAGCTCAGAGATGGTGACAAAAGTGTCTATGGGGGTAAAGGAGTTCTCAATGCTGTCAAGAATATTAACGATATTCTCGGACCCAAACTCGTCGGTGTCGATGTCAGGTGCTTGAATTTTTTCATTTCTTTGTTTCAAGTAGATTATATTCCTTTTGTTAAGAATTCAGTGATCGTGTACATGCGGGTTCTTTACTTATTAATTATATCATGTTATCTTATTTGCACAAAGGGATTTTGAGTATTGGAATTCTATGACAGAAATGTGTCTTTAACTCTTTCATATTTGGTTGTTTTGGTTCTAGGAAATTTTAGACTTATATCTAACTTTAGTTGATTTTGAACTAGTAAGTTTGTTGCATGTGAAATAAGAGGCACTGAAGATCACTAGTGTAATATTCAGCTACCTTTGATATTAGAGCCAGTAATTTTGTTTTGCACCTGATTGAGTCTTCAACTTGGATGCTGATTTTGGCTCCTCTGAATAAAGGAACCAGTCTGAAGTTGATTCGGTGATGTTGGAAATTGATGGAACACCAAACAAATCCAAGTTGGGGGCTAATGCTATTCTGGGAGTGTCTCTTAGTGTATGTCGAGCTGGTGCTGGAGCGAAGGGAATTGCTTTGTACAAGCACATTCAAGAAATCTCAGGCACAAAAGAGCTTGTTATGCCAGTCCCAGCTTTTAATGTGATCAATGGTGGCAGCCATGCTGGTAACAATTTGGCCATGCAAGAGTTCATGATCCTACCAGTTGGGGCTACCTCATTTTCCGAGGCACTTCGTATGGGTAGTGAAGGTTAGCAAACAATCTCTTTCTACTCCATATACTCCTTCACCAAGCACTTTGGAAATGCAGCTTTACTGAATAGAAATGCTACGGGAGTAATGGTTTAACATCTTAATCTTGTTCGCATCAGTTTATCATACTCTGAAGGGAATTATAAAAGCAAAGTACGGACAAGATGCATGCAATGTTGGTGATGAAGGGGGATTTGCTCCCAATGTTCAAGATAATAGAGAGGGGCTGGTACTTCTTATGGATGCAATTGACAAAGCTGGTTACTCGGGCAAGGTAGGATTCATTTAGTCAGAATTTGCTTTTGTGAATGCTTTGTTGTTTGTCTGACTGACATCATTTATGTATGCCATGAATCCAGATTAAAATTGGAATGGATGTTGCTGCTTCAGAGTTTTATACAAAAGATGGAAAATATGACCTCAATTTTAAGAAACAACCTAATGACGGGGCACATGTGCTTAGTGACCAGAGCCTATGTGAACTTTACAAGGAGTTTGTGAAAGAATTCCCTATTGTATCAATTGAAGATCCCTTTGATCAAGATGACTGGGGCTCTTGGGCAGCTCTACAATCCTCAGTTGATATACAACTTGTTGGTGATGACTTGTTGGTCACAAATCCAAAAAGAATAGCAGATGCTATCCAGAAAAAGGCCTGCAATGCTTTATTGTTGAAAGTAAGTGCTAAGAGCATGCATATCTAGAACTGTTTTACTTTGGACATGCTTCATGTTAAGTGTTGACTTTGGTGTCTGATTCAAATGTTTTGCTTGCAAAATCACTGATCTAATGGCTTCATAATATTCAATTGACAAGCTCATTTAGTAAAAAACACTAGGCCCTTTATTTCTACTTCAATGGAAGTGCATGTCAATCTCTAGTTAATTTTTTTTTTTTGTGAGAAATGGACCTTGGTTTGGATTCAAATTTTTGGGAAAAATAGGAGCAGACTGTTAGCAAATCTAATATATGTGCTCCCAAATTGTCAGTACTTTGCCGTAGAATAAGAATGGACCTGATCTTCTATGTTCTCTCCTGAAAGCATTGCTTAATGAATTTCCGAAGTGAAACATTCATCGGTTCTGATCAGAAGTGTTTGCAAATCACTGCATTCACACTTGTAGGACAACCTACATCTCATAGGCTCTATTGAACTGTAGTTGTTTACGAACTGATATATGCTCTATTGTTCATACATCAGTAAGGATTAATGTAAGGCCAATGAATGAAGTGTTATTTTCTCTGGCAATAACTGCAGGTCAACCAAATTGGATCAGTAACAGAGTCAATTCAAGCAGCCCTCGACTCCAAAGCTGCTGGATGGGGTGTGATGGTGAGCCACCGAAGTGGTGAAACAGAGGATAACTTCATTGCAGATTTATCTGTTGGGTTGGCGAGTGGACAGGTTGTTATTGCTAGGATTGTTGTTTTTCTTCAATTGTAAATGTTTTCTCTGCTAGAATTTGATCCTATTTACATCTTGTTTCTCACAGATCAAGACAGGAGCTCCATGCCGAAGTGAGCGTTTGGCCAAGTATAATCAGGTCTGTGATTGATTCTTGTGTTCCTTCCGCCATTATTGTCTCCTGTGGATCTCCTCCCACCATCTGTATGTAATGTCTTCTATCAGTCCTGTTTTACTTCATTTTGAGTAAGTTTATTTGCTTCGGTTCATGCAGCTCCTGCGCATTGAAGAGGAGCTTGGTAATGTTCGCTATGCTGGTGAAAGTTTCAGATCTCCTTGAGATGTATATGCGGATTTAAACGTAGCACAATTTGGCCGATGCTAAAATCATTTCGAAAGTAGCTTAGGTAACAGATGCAATTTTGTCTGTATACATACAGCTTCTGTGTGTTTAACGGAGAGGATTAACAAAGGCGTCGATGCATACTGTGTCACCGAAATAAATAAAGAACTTGGCTACTTGTTATTCTGGTGAAGCACCAGTTGACTGACACTTATCTTAAAATTACGCATTCCAGAGTTCAGATCCATTGCAAATCATATACATGTGCTCCCCAAAATTCTCCTCCGATACGATTGTACTCGATTAAAGAACATCTACATATTAGTAATTTTCGCGTAGAATTGCACTCTGGTGAAACATGGAAAAATAAGTTGCATTTCACTGCCAGACAGAAACCTTTGTACATTTATACTCCTTTAAGCAGAGGTTTCACAAGATCACACTTATGATACAAAACAACACAAAATCTATTCTACCAAGTCTGGATAGCTGGGCCAGTATATCTTCCAGAGCGCATGTGAAGATCATCTGGCGTGCTAATCTCTGCAAGCCATGCGTACTCCTCATCTTTCTCATTAGCAGCCTCGCCTCTCTCATCTGCAGCTGCAACAATGATCAATTCACATATTATGGCTCTGTGAACAAAATTCTGTGTCCATTAGGTTCAGTTATGGGAATGCTGTTTCATGTCCGAGTTAAAGAACTTACAGAATGTGGAGTAAGGATAATCATGATAGTAAGTACATCTCCGCCCGGCTTCTTCTAAGTAAGGAGGTGCAAGAACATCTAGCACAGCGCAAGGAGTTATTGCAGTAAAACAATGCAGGTTCCCTCCAGTTTTAGGATACAATACAGACGTACCACAAGGTGCAGTTAGAACTTTATCAACCACCAACTTAGCCAATCTCACTGCCAAAAATAGGTAAGCATCAAAAGCAATCCAATCTGGATAGATACCAAACATCTTGAATTTAAATGTAACATACTGGGTTCTCAAAATTTTACGACTCAACGCCAATATCAGTGCAAGAGTTTAGATTCAGAAACTACCATTGTGTAACTAGAAACATCTTGAATTCAAATAACTTTACTGAGTTATCCAAGACTTCAGACCTCAAAGCTAATCTTAGAACAAAGCTGTACACACTGAACACATTTCCTTTCCCACTTACATCTAATTATCATCCATGAAGCTTCGTGGTCAATCACAAAGGTGATCACTGATCGCTATACGTCACATGAGACACTACAAGTTAAGTTCACGATTCTAATAAAGAGGCAGCAGAACTATATTAAATGCCCAAATAACAAAACATAGAAGTCAACAAAAGGCAAAAATTCATCAAAAATGCTTTCTCCAAAGTATCCCCCACCTGACACTTACTCTAACTATCCCAAGTCCTAACCCTTGCAGTGTGATCTGAAAAACAGTAGATTTCACAATGCACTCAACTGAACTTCATTGTAGTGTGACTGCGAGTCTATGTACATTGCTACACACTGTAAGCAACTGAAAATTTGTTTAACCAACCCAACCCTCCCCCAACCAAAAAAGGAAAAAAAAAGAAAAAGAAAAAAGCAAGAATCCTTTGCAGCTCAAAAGTCTTACAGGGACTAAAAATGTTGACTTATTTGAACTATTACAAGGAACTGATATTAGTAAACAATCTTTAACGCCAGATACTTAGAATAACCATTTCATCAATCTTTGCAGCAGACGTAGAATCAAACCTGTTGGATGGCCTATTTGCTTGCTTTTCCGAATCTGAGCTGGTTCCACCCAATCATAAGCTTTCACATGCAATGAACCATAAAGTAATTTGCTAAAAACAGTCATCCCAGGATGGTCATGAAGTGGAATAACTGAGGAAGTGGGGAAACAAAATATGCACATCTGCATTAAACATCATGAAGTTGGTCATCAACCTCAAAAAGTTCTTGTGCCTAAACAGGAAATGATGCAAAAAGATTGGGTGTGAAAATTCAAATAGGTTGGTAAAATTCTCCCGTATTGCAATCATACCAACTACTAATGACAAGTGTTATTACTCTAACAAAAGCAAAATTGTGTGAGAGTTACACCGAGGAGATGGATCACCAATAACACAAAATAGACATGTGCATAATGTAACTGCAATTACACACTCAAACGTTACATGGGCTTGCAATGTACATTGTAGTGAATCTAGAGATGAATTAGATAATCATGGAGCTTCAAATAGTAACAAGGAATAAGTTATAATATAATACCAAAATATCATGACAGAAAGATTGGATATAATGTTACAAAACATAAACTTTACTAATAGGAATCTTCTGGTTTTGTTTTGGGTAATCAGCATTCAACATGAACAGTCATAAAGAGCCAAATGAAAAAGCTTGTTGATCAATATCAGATCGTGGAAAAAAATAAAACATGAATACTATCTTTTATCCAACCAAACAAATGGAAAGCATGGTTTTTGATAAAATCTATTAGCCAGTTTAGCTGAGGTAAACGCTTAAAACTGTGGGAAGCTATCAGTCAGATTAGATAGGACTCAATCATGAGTAGCTACATACAAAAAAACAGAACAAAACATCATACCGTGAAATCATTGCCCTCATAGATGTCCACGTATGTTATCGGTTGAGCCCATCGATTAACCCTACTGAATACATTAAGTCCAAGCAGACCATGCCCTCTATCATCCTCTTGGTTTTGATCACCCAGCCCAATGTCCGCAGGAGCAATTTTGTCTACAAAGTAACAAGATATGACGCAGCAAAACAACTGAGTCAGAATGAAGAACGACAAAGCCTGCAATCAGACAATATCAAGACAATCTCCACCAACTTCAGCCATCCATTTTGATTTCACTTTAAGGATGTAACCAAGTTGAAACACTATCCAATAATACCAAAAGAAGATAAACTAGAGTTGATAGTAATGGAGACATGATCTGGCTCTTGACATTCTAAATATTATTTCGAATTTTCAAAAAGCTCTTGCAAATGTAATTTCTTCTATCATAATCTACCCAAACGATTTCACAGAAACTCATTTCCACTTTTTCCCCAACACAAGGTTTAGAATACCAAGATAACATGTTTCCGGCTAAAAATTTCCTCCATTACATTGCCAACAAAGAGTCTTAGCAACTATCTAATTTCACACAATCCAAGATGGTTCTTTTAAATATTGCATAAACCTTTTTACTCACTTTGGGACACAACAAACATCCGAAGAAAGTTTGGGGACTAATTAGTTGAGAGTTCAGGGTGCTTAATAAGAATCAAAATCACTGTCCAAATCCCAGAATCAAACATCACTAACAACCAAATTCCATATTTCCTATCTGTACCAACGAGCATTTAAGCTGATACAGAAATACTACAAAATAAAGAACTCGCCATATCTACAAACTGTGAAAAGCATGAAAGAACAACGGAAAAGAATTCCCAACAAACAAATCACAAATAAGCGCAAGTACCTAATACAGCGCAGAGACTTCGTGTAGCTTGAGGAGAAGGTGGGAGTGGAGGAGTCCCAGAAGGAGTAAAAGTCCGTTTACAAAGATCAAATAAAGCTTGAATGGAGGACGACGAAGAGCTTTTCTTCGTCATGGCTGTGAAGAAGCTTCGGTATCTGCACATTGTGAGGTCTATACTCCCTTTGGGTCGCCCCAGAAATACGCTGGCTTTGTTAGACGCTGTTTTGGTATATTCTAAAAAATTGAGGACTTTTTCCGTAAATAAAGAACTTAACAGCCTATGAGCCTAATTTCAAGATGAAAATCTATCAGATCGCAATTAACTGATCTTGCCTTAATACGCGAATTGGCGGGAAAGAATAAAACTATCAAAGCAAAAAACAAACCGTAAAAACAACCACAACAATCCGTTTTCGCTTACTCTTGTTGACACAATGATGATTCTTTCTTCCGACAGTGTGTGAGAAACAAAAGTTTACACTATTCGAATAGAGAACACCGTTTATATTATTTCTACTAATTATTTGATATACCATCAGATAAGTCAAACAAAAAAAGAAATGCAAAAAAACCTTCCGAAATAATTACTGCAAGACATAATCACCAACAAAATTTAAATAACTTTTTTTAACACTACCGCCAAGTGCCTTTTGTTGTTTTTGCTGACTTTTGGTGGCAAGATCACTGGTATTCTTGCTGTTTCCACCGAATGAGGGGGAGCAATTGAAACTGTTTTGTGTAAGTGAATTCACTAAAAAAAAAAATTTACTCTTTCCGTCCCAAAATTATTCTCCAATTTAAATTTTTACTTTTAGTTCAATTTGTACTAAAAATAAAAATGTAAACTGAACAATAATTTTAGTATAGAGAGAATATTTTCTTTTCGGTTCGATGAAGGCTTAATGCCTGGGATTATACTAGTACTTGTAACACGTACGTATTATCTTATGCCGTAACCGGCTTAACACCGTTGGCACTTCCGGGAGCATCAAAAAGTGAGCATCTTTACCAATAATTGAAAACTCCTGTTCTCCAATAATTCCTGACAACTTATTACTCCTTCTGTTCCAAAATTCTTGTACAGTTTGAGATTTCACTTTTAGTACAATTTAAACTAGAAATAAAAATTCAAACTGCACAATAATTATGTGACGGAGGGAATATGATTTAAATACTTTGGTTTCAACTGCTGCAAACCACAAATTTTTAAAGATAAATGTCTCCAATCTTTCATCTTTTTTCCTAGGATTCCCCATAAACAGATTGCTTGCTCATCTTTCCACTCACAATTCCCCATCTGACACCCTTTCACCCTGACCCTGTGTAGCTTTCTCTTCCAAAACAAAATTCTAATCATCTTCTGAATCCAACTGCTGCTGCTTCTCATCTTCAAAGTTCAAACAAGATGGCCTACTCCAACCTCATTGAATGTATTCATTCTGCCTTACGCGAGCTGGATCTTCTTAAAGACAAGCCCTTTTTTTCCCATAGATTTGTTGTAAACATTTTTGAGCTGTTGAGATTTTGGCTAGGAAACCTCAAAATGGTTCTGCTTTCTGCCACCAAGTTGGACGTCGACTTAAATTCCTCATCTCTGGTGAAGACTGAAGATTGGGTTCGGGAAATCGCTGCAAAAGTTCACACTTATGATCGTGACAGTCCACTCGCTTTATTATCCGGCGCTGATTGGTTAGATAGACGCCTTAGATATCTTTATACACTAACACAAGAATTGTTCTCCCCTCTCCTAGATGCCCCGCGGCAATCAAGTAATTCTTTCCCTATGGATGAAGATGAAGTTTTGAATTTCATCAGCTTTTCTCTGGAGAACCTGAAGAATTTCCAGGATTTGAAAGGTATTCCTAGTGGTTTGCGCGATGGAATCAAAGCCTTGGGAGAACAGATGGAGTTCTTGAAAAATCTCATCCTCTTTGTCATACAGAGGAATGTTGAACCGGAGCGGAATTTGTTAGCTCATGCTGGAGTTATTGCCATTGATGCTGCGTTTCTTCTGTTTGATGATATAGTTTCAGATGAAACCTATAGAAATCGAATGCTTGAGTTGCCCGGAAGCTTTGTTGAGAAAATGTTGCTCGAGGTTCCGACATTGGTGCAAAAGATCAAGCCTGTTGATCCTCAGACCTATAAAATTTATACCGAAGCACTGAGTAGCACAAAGTTGGCTGCAAGATCAGTTGCTCCCACTGATCAAGGTACAGATGATGTAATACTACAGAGTTTCTTTTCTTCTCTCGTATCGATTTTTTGTGAGGAGCTTGCACGGAGTACTCATGTTGCGGTTCATATCAAGGATCAACTGCAACAGCTTTATGAAGGATTCAGATCTTTGAGACAGATGATTCTCAAGCAACAGCCAAACAAACTTGATCACCAGAAGATTAAGGAAGACATTGTTAATCTTGTATGTGATGCCGGAGTTTTCATTTGCTCATTCCAACAGAGAAATTTGGAAATAGGCCTGAATATTATTCAGGAATTGTCAGATGCAACCAAAATGATTCTGTCCAACCTTGGTGAGAAACATGCACAAGCACCATTGTTCAACTCTCGAAGCACTACTCAGTTGGCGTTTCTCGACTTTTTATCAGAAAAGCTGATGGAGCTGACAAGCAACGAAGTTGAACCGACTGCTAGGAGTTGGGCTCAAACGGTCAGAGGAAAACTTTTTTCCTTGAGATCTTTCTTGGGTGATATTGTGGACTTGCCAAATGATCAGGAAGAACTTCAAAATCTCATGGATCGTATTCTGGAGGTAGCATACAGGGTTGAAGATGCCATTGATAACCTCTTTGTTGGTAATCTCCCAGATTCTGATTCAGGATCATTTTATTCTCTCCTGAAAGACATCAGCACTATCAAGTCAGAAATTGAAGTCATGGAGAAATCAGAAATAAAAGTTAAGAAAGTAAGGGCGGCTCAAAGTCAGGTGCAATCAACTACTCCCTCAATGACAAAGGAAATTGTTGGCTTTCATGATCATGCAACATCAATAATTAATCGCCTCACGAGGGGATCAAAAAATCTGAGGATCGTGGCGATTGTTGGAATGGCAGGTCTAGGGAAGACCACTTTGGCAGAAAAAGTTTACGATAATCCTACCGTCTTGTACCATTTTTCTGTGCGTGCCTTCACCACTGTTTCGCAAACATTTGATAAAAAGGGTTTGCTAATGGATCTCATAGAACAAGTTGATCCTGACAAGTATGTCCAGATTACTTCTGAGAAAAATGCAGAAGATGTAGCCGACCAACTAAGGCGCAGTTTAAAAGGAAAGCGGTATCTCATCCTTTTAGATGATATATGGGAAGCTAAAGCCTGGCAACAGTTGCAACAATCATTTCCTGATGATTCCAAGGGGAGCCGAATTATTTTTACTAGTCGAAATCATAATGTTATTGCTCCTCTAGAGATGCTCGATGATAAACCTTTTGAACTTAGACTACTCAATAAAAATGAGAGCCTGAATTTATTGCGAAGGCAGCTGTTTGGTGGAAATGGTCAGCCCACTGAATTAAGTGGCGTTTTGATGCAAATTGTTGAAATATGCAATGGTTTGCCTCTCACGATAGTCATCGTAGCTGGGCTCTTAAGATCCATGGCGCCGGAAAATTGGAAGACAACCATGGAGGGTTTAACCTCTGGCAATCTATCAGAACGTTGTAGAGACACACTGGAGCTAAGTTATAGACATCTACCTGAGCATTTAAAGTCATGCCTCCTGTATTTTGCAACGTTTCAAGAAGATCAACAAGTCTCAGTTGAGAGGTTGCTTTCTTTATGGATGGCTGAAGGATTCATTCGTAAGGTTGAGATGAAGCGCCTTACCGACGTTGCTAAAGGATATTTGAATGATTTAATCGGAAGAAGCTTACTAATGGTTGGCAAGAAAACATCCATGGGCCGAGTGAAAAGGTGTCGCATTCATGACTTGCTGTATGAATTTTGTTCACGGAAAGCCAAAGAAGAACGGTTTTTCCATTTCCTTGAAGAAAGGTATGATGAAATGTCAGGATTCAGTGAGTCACAGTATCTGCGGAGGTTATGCATTAGCTCTGGTGCAAAGGACTTTCTTGAGTCAAAAGTATTCTGTCCTAGTGTACGTTCACTGCGTTTCAAATACCCCAAAATCCAAGATGCACCAAGTGTGACACTAATGATGCATATGTGCAAACTTCTTAGAGTGTTGGATTTGGAACATATTCTTTTAGATGGTGGTATTCCAAGTGAAATAGGGCAGCTTGTTCGGTTGACCTACTTTGCTATGAGAGGCTATATGTTGGAGATCCCAGGATCAATAGGTAAGCTCTCGGTTTTGGAAACTTTTAAAATAGTTTTAGATCGTTATGCAAAACCACTTCTAGCAGAGAGTTTTTGGAATCTACAAAAATTAAAGCATCTTTCATTTTCCTCATCCAGTCATGTTCTTTATTACGTGGGTGCGAGATTATCCATGGAAAATCTCGACAACTCATCTGATTTGTATGAGTTGGACACGGTTTCTGGTGTGGTTATTCCTTATGATGCTGTGGAAAGAGTACTGAAAAAGTTTCCAAATCTTCGCGACTTAAACTTTCAACTTCGTGGATTAGAATCATTAGGTAGCTATAAAGGAAATGTTTTCCACATTGTAGTTCCTGATGTTTTGACTCAACTGGAATCACTTTGTGTCCACCACTCTCCAACATACAGTACTAAGGTTGAGTTCAGTTTGCCAACAAATATAAAGAAACTGACATTGCATCACTTTCAATTGTCTGGGAGGATTTTTTCAAGCATAGGTAACCTGCCGAACCTCGAATACCTCAGATTGATCAAGGTAGAATTTGAAGGGAACACATGGATAATGGAAGAAGAGCAATTCTCCAAACTTAGAATCTTGAAGTTGAATTCCTCATCCCTTCGCTGTTGGAGTGGTTCTGATGATCAATTTGGGTGTCTAGAGAAGTTGGTACTCTCTAATTGCAGCAAACTGGAAGAGATGCCTTCTTGTTTGGAAACTATTTCGACGCTTCAACTGATCAAGGCTGCTCATTGCCATAGAACGGTGACAAGGTTGGTGCAGGAGATCGGGGAAGTGCAGGCAGACTACGGAAATTCAGATATGAAGATCATTGTTTATACGGAGCGTGATTAACCAATATGGTAAGGCTTGTAACGTAAAGCTATTGTCAAGATATAGGCAAATCGTTGATGTGCCTTCATCTATCCATTTTCATTTGGGCTTACTAACTAACCAATTTGTTTTTGCACCTTGTGCACATTAACTTTCCTTCAAAATGAATGCCTAAAATTTATGTCAAAGCAAAACAAGTATTGCGCACCTCTCTGTTACATGAAAAAACTTAAAAGGAAATTCGTTTACAATCCTCATATTGAAGGGCATATTAGAGAATCTTGAGCCTATTTTCATTCCTTGGTTTTGTGGTCAGAATGGCAGAAAAGATCATGAGATTTTATGTATGTCTTCATTGCTAGACAGATGGTCGGGTGATTTTGGCTGAATTTGACACAATCAGGTAGCTGAATATATGGATAACAGGATGCAAGGATTGGTTTTGAAAAACTCAGATAAACCTCTAGATGGTGCGGCGATCTGAAGGTAAGGTGAATTTCTTTTATGTTTGCAAAGTGTTTTTAATATTTTTCTTATGGTGTATTAAAAGAAGACTGGTAAAGAACTACGAGATGAGGAAATAGGTCAAAGAGAAAGAATAATGCCGGGATTTATGTATATATTTGTGATATCCTTAATTTTAGTTAACTGTGGCTGGTTTGGTTCCCTTGTCGACTTGACCTGTAAGTAATAGGGACTATAGTGAATGTTTTGAACAGCTGGTTAGTGTCCTTGGGAGTGCAACCTTACTTGTCAACTGTGGTAAAACTTATATCACTCGATCACCCTTGCAACCTCTACAACCTAAATTGAGCTAGATGTTTGTCTGCCTCTTGTATACTGTACTTAAATCAGGTTTTTAATATATTGTGGTAAGAGTTCCCAGTGCTAAAAGGTTCAAGCTTGACAGAGTTGGTTATATGTGTCACAAGAACTAACGATATCATTTAGTTGTCTCCGTTAGACGCATGCTGAAACTTAACCTAGTTAAGATTGAGCAATTTTTAAAATGTTTTTTTTTTTTTTAAAACTAAGCAATTTGTTAGGGGGAGATAGAATTGTTTCACAGTATGTGGTTTAACAGAAATTTATGAGCGTTTTAGCTGATGTTCCGACTTGTTTATGGCAGGATTTTATGGGAATGACTACTGCTCTGTATGTGTTGAATTGAAACAAGTTCCAAGAGATGCAAAAGAAGTTTGATGTTTTCATGATTGGGCAAGAATATCAGAGAAAGTTAACTACCGTGTGTTGGTAAAAAGATTCGTTGACGGTGATTTCAGTAGGCTCTTGCTTTATGTAACTATGTTTGGTGACATAAAATCGATTTTTGGTAAACTACAAAGTTGGTTGCATCGCTTGTTTTATATTGATTGTTGGTATACTACAGAGATTTACAGATTAACAAAGGAATTGAGCAAATCATTTGCAGATGAGTAGAGTGAAAAACGAATCAAAATTTCAGTTGTATTGCACTAATGAAGGGGTCAAAATGAAATGCACAAATGTAGAACATGTCAAGTGAAACAGATAATTAATTTCATTTCGGTGCAAGGAAGGCACCTTAGTACAATTACCGAAGCAGCTTTGTACAATTGCAGAAAGATGATCTCTACTAGCCATGCTAACTCACCTTTTCCCTTAGCAAGCTCGTCTCTCTCATCCATAGTAGCAGCAATAGAAAAATTCATAGGTCATGAGAAATGTCCTCTGGGTTCAAGCAGGATAGGAATTCTATTTAGATATCCTGAGAAGCAGAAAAACTTACAGAATGTGCATTTCCTGCCGGCTTCTTCTTAGTAAGGAGGTGCAAGAACATAAAGCACTGCATAGGGAGTGATTGCAGTGAAATGATGCAATTTCCCTCCAGATTTAGGGTACAATACCTATGGCGCAGTTAGAACTTAATCAAACACCACTTTAACCAATCTCATGGGAAAAAAACAAAAAAAAAAAACGGCGAGGTCCATCAAATTCAATTCCATCAGAATAACTTTAAACATATTGAATTTGTATTCCACATATTAACTTCATTGAGGTCTTTAAAAACATACTGTATTCAAATAAAGTCATTAATGAAGGGAAGTAATCACATCTCAAGGTTCATTTTAAGGAAATAAGGTTAGTGTAAAGACTATAAAGCCAAAAACTTATACTGTATTAACTATTGCATGAATCCCAAAAAAAAAAAAAAAAAAACTACTATTGCATCAATCTTTGCAGGGGATGTGGAATCAAACCTGTTGGATGACCTGCTTGCTTTTCCAAATCAGAGCACCCAGTCATAAGTTGGATGCTTGTCCAGACTGTTGGTCCTGAAGTGGAATAACAGAGGAAGTGGGAAAACAAAATATGCAGATCTGCACCAAACATTATGAAGCTGATCATCAACCCCCAAAAGTTCTCGTGTCAACAGAAAAAGATGCGAAAAAACTGAGTTTGACAATGCAAAAAATTGAAGTTAGCTCAAAATTGAGCACTGCCTATTTGTAACTGCAATTATATGCTCATATTATAGCACTCATACAACCCTGCATTGTGCTGATGAATTGGACAACCATGGAGTTGAAGAATGAATATTAATAATTAACCTTCACAGTAACCAGGAAATGAAGTACTCCCTCCGTCCCATAATTATTGTGCAGTTTGAGATTTCACTTTTAGTACAAATTGAACTAAAAATGAAAACCTAAACTGGACAATAATTATGGGAGTGAGGGAGTATAATACTAACTCTCATGACAGAAGCACTTGATATATTTTAAGGAAAGAAAATTCTATGAATTGGAGTCTTCTAGTTTTGCTCTGGGTTATCAGCATTCAACATGAACAATAATAAACAGCCAGATTAAGAGGTTGTTTGTTGACGAAAATCATGCAAGGGGAAAAGAGAATTAAGAATGCACAAAGAATAATCTCTTGGCCTTCTCAAATTGGAACCAAGAAAGGAAGAAGGTTGATAAAGTGCAAGCTTATCTCATGCTTATGAAAGGAATACAACATGAACACTCTCTTTTACCCAAACAAAATTTGAAAAGCATGGGTTTGATGAACATCTATTTTCCCTTCTAAGTCACTTGAAATTCGTAGAAGTTATCAATCAACTTGCAAACTGAAAGACCACAATTCATAATGCAAAATCGTGCCCTCGTATATGTCCACTTAGGCTATATGTTGAGCCCATCAATTGGCAACTAAATTCATTAAGTCCATGCAGACCATGCCTCGGTCATCTACATGGTTATTGATTACCTACTTCTGAAGGATCAATTGTGTTTACAGATAACAAGATATGGCAGCAAAGAAATCAAGTCAGAATAAAGGACAAGCAAGGCTGCAATCAGACAGTATCAATACAATCTTCCCCAACTTCAGCCATCCAATTTGGTTTTACTTTGATGCTGTTACTAAATTATACTTGAAGAGAAACTAGATGATGAAGACGAGTTGGTTCTCACATTCTAAGCCTTAAATTCCAAAGTTTTAAACTTCTTGCAATGTAAATTTCTTCCATCATAACCATTCACAGAAACAGATTTCCCATCTTTTTCCCTCTCACACAAGGTCTAGGATGCCAAGATAACATGTTTCCAGCTAAATTTCCTCCATTACAATGCCATAAGATTCATGGTATAACATCCATTTTCACCGAATCCAAAACGGTTATTAAAATTTCACAAAAATCTTTGTAATCATCCTGGAATACATAATTGCCACCAATTTTAGTTGAGAGTTTAGGGTGCATAAAAATCAAAATCAAAGCCCAAATCCTAGAATCAAGCATCACTAACCATCAAAGACCAAATTCATCTGTTCCTCTCTTCGAATTCCATATTTAAGGCAACACAGAAATCAACATTAAAGGACTCGCCATATCCAGGAGCTGTGAAAATCAACAAAGGAAAAGAGTTCTCAAGAAACGGATTAAAAATAGCAGTAAGTACCTAATACAGCCGCAGTGATTTCGGTGTAGCTTGTACAAAGATCAAACAAAGCTTGAATCGAGGAGGACGAAGAGCTCTTCTTCTTCTTCATGTCTCTACTCCGTTGGCAAATGCTGCTGCCTTTCTTAGCCGCTGTTTGGTATATTCTTAAGAATTAAGGACTAATACGTAAATATGATAACTTCGCCGCCGAATATCCAGATGAAACGTCGTCGTTCAATTTGACGCTTCTGCCCGTGAAAGGCTATTTGGCGGGAAAATGAGAAAAAAGAAAAGAACAAAATATATTCATAACACTCTGTGAAAACCCTTTCACCGGAGCTTTGTGAAATTGAACGAAATGGAAGGCAGCGGTAGCGAAGCCGTGTTTGAGTCGCTGAATCTGAATCCGCAGCTATTCATCAACGAAGCTCTGAATTCCGTCGACGATTTAGTGGAGGAAGCCTTCACTTTCTTCACCCAGTAAATGCTCCATTTCCCCTTTCTTTACGTTTTTCCGTAGTTGAGATTTCCCAGTTTTCGATTTTCCACTTTCTGCTGTGTTTTCTCTAGGCAAGCATCGGAAATTTTGAAAAGTGACGGTACGGATCGGTCCGAAGAGCTCACCAAGGTTAGCTGAATTTCGATTTGGGGGCAGAATTAGGGTTCTGTTTGAAGTAAATGAAATGATTGTTGTCTTATCCTATTGTTTCAATTCTGATAGGGAGTGGCGTATACCCGGTATATGATTCAGTCGAATTTGGACAAAAGGATGTCTATGTGGGAGAAGTATTGTCTCAGCCATTGTTTTGCTGTTCCGGAAGGATTCGTATTGCCTAAAGCTGTGAGTTTTTACTTATTTTGTTGTTTTGTTTTGCTACTTGCTTCTTAGGTTAGCTGTGTTCTGTTTGTGTATACGAACGTGAAGAAGTGTAGACTAATTTAAAGTGTGACAGTTTTCGTTTTTGGCTGAATATTAGAAGAAATTTTCCAACACGTTTCGATTGTCTGTATCAGTACTCTCTTTTATCAACTTTTTGTAATTATTTATCTGACACTGGGAAAAGAAAGGTTTTATATTCGCCAATTTCAGGACGAGGCATCTTCTTCTGGTGCTTCTTTGGACCTTGATGCTCTTGGAGACTCAGAATTGGATATGCAGCTAGACTCATTGCGAGAAAAACTTACTCAGGTGCATGAAATCCTTGAAAAGCATTCTTGAGTATGTTTTATATGAATAGCAAAATGCTGGATTCTAAAGTTTTCGCTTTATCCTTTTAACCTATTACTACAGGTTGGACAGGAGTGTGCTTTACTTAATAGAGAAATCCAGAAAGTAGAGAAGGAATCTGCATTAGTCACTCACTCTGCTGCTTCTATAGATGATGCTTTACAACTCTATGAAAAACATTCATCGCAGGAGATGTTCCGAGGTGATTAAATCCGCCTTTATAAAAATGAAATAATTTTCTTTTAATATTGTCGGTGTTGTGTCTGTCCATACACACATATCTGTTAGCAATCAATTTTCTACTATATGTTTGAGTTTTGTAAATGGGCTAAAAGGTGATCAGGTTTGAGTCCCAGAAAACGGGGATCAGGTTTGGGATTTTCCCCTATGTAGGCAGTTAAATGGGCTAAAGGTGCAGGAGGGCGAGCTTTTATCTGTAGTTATCAAATTGCTGAGCAGTAGAGTGGTTGCTGAGCAGTAAATGTAATTGTTGAAATGAGCTCATGGTCTGAGATGAACTGGCTATATGTCTCTTTGCTTCTGTCAATATTCTGGATATTGGCAGTTCAAAGGCTTCGGGGTGATCGACGCACCCATTGAATGTTGAAGAATGTTAGATGACATGTGCATGAAATTCTTTAGTATAAATAGTTCTGGTATTCATCATTTTTGCGAGCTGCGCAAGCCTACTGTATTGTTTCCTGACGTTGTGAATTGCTTATGGAACTACATCTTTTGCCATTTAAGATTTTTGAATCTTTAGCAAAAATAGGATCTGCACACTGGAAATATCTTCACCAACTAGTATTCATCACGTAATGAAACCAAGGCTGTAAATGCCGAAACTTGATGACTTGTCTATGGTATGTGATAGTTTGCTTGTATTTTCATTGCCTTGGCAGAGTTAGGTTTTCCTTCCAGAGATGTTATTACGTTTTGAGGCCAAGTTTGTGAATACAAAAACTTTCTTTTGAGAAATTTGCATGATCTAAACTGTGCACTCTGGAATTTCCATTATAGCTGTCATTTTCTGGTGATTATGCATGGTGGTTTGTAATGCTTTGAGACCAACGAGTTTTGCTGGCTTTACAGAGTTGATAGAAGTGGCATCAGAATTTCGCATGAAGACAGAGAAGCTGAAAACCCCAGAATCCAGTAGGATGGAGAAAATTGAACTCATTCTGGCCGAGAGGACAAACATGCAGAACGGTGAGCTGTTGCAAGCTAACATTGGTAAGAACAGCTGCTTTCTTAAAAACCTTTGCCTTTCCAGTGATAATACTACCGAATGATATTTTTTGTTTGTGACTCTTTGCTGGCATGTCTTCGTGTAGGCATTCCTAACACGAAACTGGAAGAACTCCAAGGACTGTTGGATGTCATGCAAACATAGGGAGACATGGTTGTAGCTTCAACAAGATGTTTGTAGGTCAATTACCATTGTTACTAAGTGGCAGTTGTAAGGTTTGCTTCAGGTTCTGTTTAGCTTTTATGTCATTTAATAGATGTACCAGCTTCAGTGGCATTACAATCAAGAAGAGATTTAGTAGTTATACTTGTATTTGCAATTGTACTGCTGCTTATATTCTAGGTATTCTTGCTTCTGCCTTGTTAAAAATCTCTGACGTAATGGAAGCCACATTCTTAAATGAGATCCGCTGTCCCATTTAATATTTATTGTGCAATAATCGTGTCCCCAGTTTGGTATCAACTCTAAGACCATTTCTATAGATGTTGAAATACCAACAAACTTTAATCCATATGGCAGTAATAAGTGTGACATTTCAAGACTTCAGACGTTAAACATAAGTCATTGTAGTGATAGATAGGCGGCCTATACAGGTACGATTAACAAGAGCAACAAATAATGTGTTAACCTATTTGCAGAGCAGCAGAGGGGGTCGATCTTCGCAGAATAGGGACAGGTTCTCATGTCTTTTGCTACAAATGCTCGTGTTTCATATCCAATTGGTAGAAATTGAGTAAAATTATTGAATTAAGTGAAACATAAATTCGGAAGCGACAAGTGAAAATGTAATATATGGAAAATTCATTAGGTTCAGATTTCCACTTGCTCTAAGGTAAAAGAATTAACATTGAAGACAAGATTATGTTTAAATCCGCACCTTGGATTTATTTGTCTTTCATCCGCAACTCCTGATTATTAATTGTGAGAAAATTCTTTGGATGATTAATTGGTTGATGCATTCCACTTAGCTCCTAATCTTTCTGTTAAAAAAAATTATATACTAATTATCTTGGCTCCTCGCATTGTTCTGGTGAATTTTAACTGATGACTACCAAAATAGAGAATGTGGATTGAAAAACAGAAGAATTGTTTTCAATTCTAGGATTAGTCAAGGACTAAAGGCTATAGTCCTACATAGATAACAATCAAATTAATTTAGACTATACAATACGTAGAATCTAAAGTCTTTTTGCCCAAGGTACATGCTATACTTTGTACTCTGAAAATTTAGAATTTTTAACTTTTAAATTATTTTTTTACGATTTTATTTTTATACTTCCTGACTCGTATATGTTGCTACTAGTATAATTACTAAATTTTAAGAAATAACTTACCTTTTGTATTTCAATTTTGAGGTTTAAAAAAAAATAAAGAAATATACTGTTAAAGAATTCCACGTATCTTAACTTTGTCATGAAATTCAATAATTGCGTATATCGTTTAGCCATCGACAAAATAACAACAATAATTACAAAAAAAGAATAATAATAGTGTTAACCAAATTTATTGAAATTCATTGTTGTGGACTAATTAAATTAGCACTTTTTTCCGTTTCAAATGATTGTCTAATTTTTATATTTTTTTATTAAAACAAACAAAATAATCAGTTTAGACTAGATTGAGTAAAATTTGTATTCCGTAACTTACGTAGGAATTACAGGAAGTCAAGAAGGAAAGACTTGTCGTATCGGATTTTTTTAAAAAGTTTTTTTTTTTGGTTTAGAATGATTATTAATTTTAATGATTATTTCAACTTGATTTTTTCTTCTTCTTTTTCTTTGTTTTTTGATTTTTTAAAAATTTATGAAACAAAAACAACCACAACAACAACAACAAGCCTTTTTCTCACTAGGTGGGGTCGGTTATATGGATTATATGTCGCCATTGTACTCGATCATTACATAAATCATCCTTCAAATTTAAATATTGCAAATCATTTTTTATAGTTTCTTCCAAATTGTCTTCGGTCTATCCCTACCCCTCTTTATTTGAGTTCTTGGTTCTATACTTTCGACCCTCCTAACCGGGCCTCCATCGGTCTCCTACGTACATGCCCAAACCACCTTAAACGAGTTTCTATCATTTTCTCATCTATTGGAACTATCCCTACCTTATTTCTAATGCATTCGTTTCTAATCCTATCTAACCTAGTGCGCCCACAAATCCATCTTAGTATTTTTATTTCTTCTACCTGCATTTATGAAACGAAAAAGTTAATTAATTATTAAAATTCAGTAATTATTGTAATACCAAAATATATATGTAAGGAAGTATAAGAAAAACAATCGTAAAGAATAAATAATATAAAAATAAAAATTTTAAAATTTTTAAAATATATAAATAACAAAATTATCCCTAGACCCTACTCACATGTTTTACACATGAAAAAATAGAGTTTGAAAATAAATAATATTTTTTTTAAAAGATCATAGAGTATATTTAGATGATTATGAATTTAGTAAAGAGAAATAAAATGAAATAGGAAAAAAATAAATAAAACGTGAAGTGGTTGATTTGTTATTTTTATATATTTTAGTAGTTATGTTTATAATTTTTAAAAAATTATTGGGGGTGCTTTTGTAAAAGAATGAGAAATCCATTAAGTTTAACGAAAAATTGGGTTAATTAGACAAAATTAGCAAAAATTTCAAACATAAATAACAAAATTGGCTAACTGAAAATCAATGAATTAGAATGGACGATAATGCCAAAACTTTGAATATATCCACCATGTTTCCCATTACAAGTGTTTCCGCTCTAGTACATAATGGATTTAACTACAGAAAAAGATAACTTCTTAAATTAGTGAACTTTCCTTTTTAGTTTGCCTAATTTAGCCATTTTGTTGCTCTATACGCAACTACTTGAAAACAAGGATATATAGCTAGGTTAATTAGGTTCTTGAAAGTTGAAAATTGGCTTTGGGATTTAATTTTGGAACCAGCATCCCATTTGAGTAGATTTGCGACCATCGATGACCAATCACCACCAATATTCAAGCATTCTATTTCCCCTTCTCTGGATTTAGGCATTGCATTTAAAAAAAAAATTCAACAAATTTCAACGTGGACATATCGCTCCCATAAAAAAAATTATTTTGAGTGTAATATATATCTGTTTAAATGTCTTATAATTTTTTTTTTTATAAAAAAATCACATAGTCTAATACCAGTGACTTACATAAAGATAACTCTGGTTAATTAGTTATTTTCGTTTTTATTGAAAAGAGTTTTTTCTTCTTTTTTTTTTTTGGTTTCCCAAGATATCCCCTCGCCGATAGCGAGAGGACTAATCCTGCGTCCCTACGGTCATCGCACTAAAGATTATTCCATTCATGTTTGGTTTTTAAGGTTAATAAATGATATCGTTTCTCGCCTAATTGAGATGCTAGCTCTTTCCTACCTACTCTAAAACTTGTTTCACAGCAATGGCCAGCGCTATCTATGGCTAGACAAATTTGTTTCACTTTGCCTGATATTTTATTTTTTCAAATTACATTTGTCCCATCAAGAATCGAAGTATCGAACAATATATGAAGTCCCGACATTCGTCCTTCTCCATTCAGTCCAACCAAAACCAAGCATTTGGGACAAAGATATTTTTCCAAATCGAATGTATTGAATTCCTAGTAAAGATCAATCGCCATATCCCAAACAACTTTTTAGTGAAGAAAACAAAGAACTATATCAACAGTAAGAAAAACTTCATGTCAGTTTCCTTTTTAATTACAAGACTGAAGGAAAATGGAAACGAAAAAATGTGGTTCATTTAGATAATGTTGACGAAGGATTTTATCCCTATGATTATGATATCGACTGCGGAAAGGAGCATGACTCTGCAAGAGAATTTGAAAAATTCTATTTGTCAACTTTCCTCTTTAGTTTGTACTTGGAAATTTATGGTAACTTTTGTCACTTTTTTCGGGATAGTAGAGAGACAAAAAGTTGATCTTGGCTAATCATGTTTGATTTATTAGACTAATTAATAATAAGATCGGTGTTCATCTATTTAACTAATACGCTAACAGGCTCTTTCCCACATTAATAACTTACTATGGTTTAGCTTGCTAGGGCTGCTCAAATTTGTTTCAGGTCGAGAAATTCTAAACGGTTTTGTTTTTAAGCGAAAAAAATAAAAAATAAAATTGAATTGTCTCAATAAGATTTCAATCACAATTTAGCGATAATGGCATCCCACTCTTTATCTCAGCCAATTATCTCTGACTCTCCCTTTAAAAATCTTTTTTGGAGGGTCAATATAAAGAATATATATTGGCTACACCTGAAAGGTCCAACGGGAACGCCTCACTTTAGCAGGTACAGTTGCATAAATTAGTGGCCTATACGAGCTAGCTTGAAAAGCAGCTAGATAATGCCAAATAATTATTTGTAGGAAAATCAATTTTGTGATACATAGATTGACGTCGGAAAGAAATCTTCAAATTTGTATAGAATTTGAATGAGAGTTCTTCCCTTTCAATAATTACTTATAAAGATAAACTGGTTTTGTGACACTTATTTAGGGGAAATAAACTTTAACTACAGTTATTCCCTTCAACATATTATGTGTCTCTCCAACATATTCAATGTTACTAAGAATATATCAACTGGTACTTGCCAAGATATCCTGTGTTGAACCCTGTCACGTACAGTTCATTACCTTGCTGGTAAACTGTTGATACGAGTTGAGTGAATTCTTGAGTTAGGTCCAGTCTTGCTAGTATTTGGCCAGCAACATTAAACTTCACAGCTTGAGTATTCGCAAAAGTTTCATTTACTAAATTGTTAACCGGAACCCAAAAATTATCTTCACCCTTAACTCTCGTAATCTGTAAGAAACTTCCTAGACCTGATAGTATAATTTCAGAAGTACCAGCTTTCTCTCCATTTATATAATACTTGCGGATTCTTTGAGCCGTGTACTCCGCAACAAAGACACTTGAGGCAACCCTATCCGAAGCCACTCCTGCCGGACCTCCTAACCCTGTAAGCAATTCAGTCACTATTTTTGTTCTACTATCATATTCCAATAGCTTTCCGGTTGAATCTCCGGTCAGTATGGATGTGTTAATATCCCTGAAGAGGAAAATGTTAATTTAGAAATTATTAAACTCATATTATAAATTATTTGAGTGACTATTCACATAATAATTAAATAATAATAATGTCTACTTATGTTCAAGTTGGAAGAAACAAAAATTACCTGAGATTATATATATTGCTAGCATCGACAAAGTAAACTTTGCGGTTTATAGCGGCATCAACGTCGACAAGCGTGTGGTAAGGTACACCGTTTTTAGAAGGGACTAAATTAGTCGCAAGTCCCCCAAAAATTCCCACAATGTCTAGCCCGAGGGATGTATCGGTAACATATATCTTCCCAGTCGCAGGGTCTGGACTCAATCCAAACGGATAACCACAAGTTTGTAACTTATTAAAGTCTGTTGTCCCATCACAGAATGCGCTAGTCCTGAACACAAACCGAATTCATGTAGCAAATTAATGATGGCTTATTAGGATGAAATAATGGAGTTTATCATTAAATAGGTCTGGAGGGAAAATTTTCCTTGGGATAGGAATTTAACAATGAGATCGAGATAAAAAAAATACCTATCTGGTGAAGTATAAGCAAAATCTTCGAATGTTCTACGAAGCTTATTGTACTTCAAGATTCTACCATCAACAACACCTATGTACGGACCTCCATTGAACAAGTCAAATGTGAAGCCTCCTGTGGTTGTCGTGTTCGGTGGTAACGAGATCTTTTCAAATCCAGTGATGCTAATACTTGTGCCAGGTGATATAATGTTAGAAGAGATCAAACAAGGAAAAGTAGAGAGAAATAAGAAGGTAAACAAGGCTACCATTATCATATTTTTCATCATGATGCAAATGTTTGTACAAGAGTTAAGGTGGCTTGTGTGATATGCTATTTATAGGGGAAAAAAGCAAACGTAAGAAGTACTGTGTACGTTTTTGTTAACATATTCACGTTTGTAGGCTAGACAGTTTGGAATAATAACCTATTGTTAGGATTTCCGGCCTGAGAGATAAGGCACATAGAGTTCCGATATCGAGTCCAATAAGTAAGTAGGAAATCCACCTGAACCTAAAATACCAAGATAATAAGTTTTGGGAACAATTTACTTATTAACTCATCTATATTGCTCCAAGATACCGATGTGAAACAATTAACATACTCATGACTTCAATACATACGTTCAAAGTAATTTAATCATCTATCACACGTTGAATAAATTGCTCATTTGGGTGGCCACCGTCTCTTTTTTTTTTTAGGTAAATTCGGACGGTACTTGGCGATCCCCAATTTTATTAATATAAAAAGAAAAGTATACATGCAATGCTTAAGACTTATGTATTGGGAAGAACGGTCTTACCAAGCTAATACGGGAGGTTGTTGTTATAACGGTGCGACAATAGGATTCACGTCTACTAGTTTGTGTACCCAAATAAATGTTGGATAAATTTTGTTAACAAACCCAAGCATTAATTAACAAGAGCCAGTTAATGCCGAGTAGTTGCCCTTTTAATATGCAGAAACGGATTTAATACTTCCATCTTGGGAAAAACGGATGTAATAATTAGCCTCCAGGGAAAAAAAAATCATCATTTCCTAAATTATCTTTATAATGTCAATGAAAATTAAATGGAAATTACCGTCCTCCTTTTCCTGCGTTGTTGATTGCGGACTCACAAATTTCCTGCTTTTTTTTTTTTTCCTCTTGCTGTGTGTAAGATAAATATGTACAAACTTCTAATAAGCATAGAACCCGCCATCATAGAAACTCCTAGTAATGTTAAAGATCGCAAGTACGGTAATACGAAGTCACAAACACCATACTTTCATAGAAAATCAAATGTTCATTAAATCTACTGAATTTGGACAAGTTAAGCCCCGTTAAAACATCAGTTATTTGTTTTGACCTCTCTCATTTCTCAATATGGTAGAGCTGCACAAAGGTTCCACATAAGAACAACAAGAAAAGTAAAAATTCCTTATAAAAGTTGTTGCAAATTCCACCAATTTCCTTATATTCCATTTGTTAAGTGCAAAAATCTATTTAATCAGCATACTCAATCATATCTCCGAAGTCCGGACTCTTGAACCCCATCAAATTACTTTCGAAACCACCTCTCTAATTTTCACAAAACCTCTTCGTTTCCTTCGAGAAATCCTCATTGCGCTGTTTGTTGTTTTTTTTTAGGTTGTTTTTTCCTCCTTCAAAATCCATAAAATCCCTCTACTTTAATGGTGTCTTTTGTTGTCTTCACAGTCAAACAAAATTGGCTGCCCTCGAAATTTTATGGAAGAAGATGGAAAGACCAAAGATTGATTTTCCGAATTGAAGGTTAAATCTTGGATTGAGAAAATGAGAAATATGAATAATGATTGTGTTGCTGGTTGATGATGTGGTGAGGAGGACAAAAACCAAACTGATGATAGTCAGGAAAAAATGGTTTTGGGAGGTTGAAGATAATAATTTGCAGAGTTTGAGTTGGCGCAAAGCCATGAATGAAGATCTCGCATGACTGTTTGGGGGTATTTTAGAGAATTACGGTCATTTTTGCTCTGGGTGTTAATTACTACCCTGCCAATATCATCAGCCTAAATAATCTATCTGGTTAAGTTAATGACCAATTGGATTTGATTTTGCCTTCATATGTAGCCACTATTATAGAGTTTCAAAATTTGGCGTAGAACAGAACAAACTAAAAAAAGGGAAGTTCAACTATTTGAGAAGATTTATTTGTTCCCCCCACCTAGTAGCTATAAAAGTAATTATATATATATAGAGTGGAACAAATATGCGGGCATATATACTACAACGCTTGATCATACGGTGGTGGATACCCATACCTTCAAAGTCAATAACCCAAGTGTAGACAGCAATTTTGGGAGCATTTGCAATTTGTATATGCAAGTGCAACAAATCGAGCCACTACTCAAGCAAAAACGAAAGAGAAATTAAGAGAAAGTTCATCAATCACTATGGCGCACGCATAGGTACAAAATGCAAACTGCAAAATGTCCAGCGTTCCCATCCACATGTATATCCTAGCTCTAGAGAATTAGGTTTAGATTCGTTTTTTAATTTGTGGGGCTTTAAATCAACAAGTTCTACCCAATATGAATGGACTTTCTAGGCATGCATAAATAGAACCGTTGGATTATGAGGATATGTGGTTTGTTTATTCTATTGATCTAGCCATAAGATACTTGGTGAGAAAAATAATCTTCTTAAATTAGTTAAATTTCCTTTTTAGTTTATTTAGTTTCTATTTTAGGCCTAATTAATGCTGCCACTCTGTCCGTGGTTCTTCCTTCGAGAGTCTGATTGTCAATTATAATATAGAGCACCTAGGTACACCTTAGGTTGAAAAACACGCACCCAACAAAAAGGGGTTACAAATAAGATATTTTTAATTTTCAATTCCTGATATTTCTCATAATTTTTAGTCATCATTAACCATATCCAACTTTCTATTCTATTCAATCCAAAGACATCAAACTAAAAAAATCTAAAAGCCCAAACTTCATCTCTACAGCAATTTGGCATCAGAACCTCTCGTCGGCGGTATTTTTCAAGACGGAATCCGGTTATACATCAAATCCCGTGAGTTTGTTTGCAATATACGTTGCTGAATCTGTGGATTAAGGTAGTATATGATTTTATTCATCAGTTTTGCTTGTTTTTTTTTCATGTATGAAAATAATGATATTTTTCTGAAATATTCATGAGGGGGCCACGATTATGTACTCTGTTTCGAATAAGAGCGATTCGATGACTGAAGAGAGAAGAAGGTAATACCACTATTTTCTTAAACAATTGGTGTGTTTTTTAGGTTGGGTTATATAGATCTAAGGTATGTCCATTCGATTATAAATGTTTGTGCATTTATTTTTTTAGTTTTGTTCATCGATTTGTTGTTGATTTTAGAAGAGATTAATAAATCTGGGTATTATTCATCATTTCAATATCCTTATTCATCATTGATAATGAGATATTCATCGTTGATAATAGATCTGGATATTATTCATCAGTCTAATTTGTTCATCAATTTGTTATCGTTGAACATCAGTTTGTTGTTGCATTTTTTTTGGTAATATTCATCCGTAATGAGTTGTTATTTATAGAAAATTCGGAGTAAGAAATCGTAGAAAATTTTGATCTTTTCGACTTTGAGTCTTAGGTAATAATGATTATTTATCGTTTGATTAAATATAATTTACGTTTTATGGCTATAGTGTACGATATGCTGATTTATTCATCCTACTAAAAGTGGTTATTCATCCTTTGCGAATTTGTTATTCATCATGTTATATGTGCACTGTTGATATTTTGATTTGGATTGGGTGTATGCAGATCTAAAGATTAGTCATAATGTTAATCATGATCTTTCATAGTCTATTAAGACGTTATTCATAAATATCCTGTTCATTGTTGGCATTTGGTCTGGATTAGGTGTATACAAATATGATGGCTATTCATCCTCTACTATGTTGTTATTCATCTAAAGAGTGATATGATATAATCATGTGAATGTATATCATTCATCACGTGAATTTGAATAGTTCATCCTTTGAATAAGTGTCAAGATGAAGTTGATCGGTCGGGAATAAAATATTTTGTCAGAGTTGCTGAAATCAAACAATCAAGATAAACGGGCATCAAACATCAGCAAATCCTTCAAGACCTTATATATTAAAAACAATGACTATTTTTTTGTTCATTTTTTGTCTAGTACAATACATAATTAGAAGTTTCTTAGTTTAGTTGCTAATATTAACCCATTGTAATATATACTTTTGTTATCAAAGTTATCTAGTAACGTATATTATTCATTCATTAAAAGTAAATTATTCATTTTGTAAAACTACAACTATTCTTCATTTTAATATTGTTATTCATTTAGGATCAGATCATTATTCATCAGATTTGCATCGTTATTCATCTTTGTGAATATCGTTATTCATCGCAAAATTTAAATTTATTCTTCCATAACGTTGTCACTATAAGAACATCATTATTCATCGATAAGTATACCATTATTCATCCAAACAAATATCGTTATCCATCAAAATTTTCCAAATTTGATGCTTAATTCTCTGGATTTCATTATTAATCAGTTGAAATTTTTTTGCTCTCATTGATTCTCCAGATTCATAAGTCTCGATGATGAATCATATTAAAGTTTACCAAAATAAAATCATCGTTAAAAAAATCTCATAAAATAAAATAATACAAAACTAACAGGATAAGTAAAAAAAAAATTTAAAATTAAATATGTGCTAAAAAAGGGTATAAAATTGGCGGGATTAAATGCCAAAAAAAAGGGGATGAAATGACCATTTTTTTTTACCAAATTTGTGATACACGCACCGACTAGGTATCCATCGCCTAGGTGCTTAATATTATTTGTCGTATGATTGTAGCTAGATTAGGCTGTTAAAAGTTGAAATTAGTTTTTGGATTTCGGACCAGTATTCCAAGTTGAGTAGATTTCGGACCATCAACCATCAGTCAAGCATCCCGCTGGGGAGTTAGACTTTTGATATAGGGGGTGCAAAAAGAAACCAATAAAATAAGTGTACTACAAACTAAAACACGTTTTTACGTATTATACAAAATTAAGTACTAAATATTTTTAGTAGAACGTTGGTAAATAAATAGCCGATAAATTAATAACTTCTAACAGTTAATAATTTTTTCCGGTCTCAATATGAGATTATTACAAAAAATTAAAAAAATTCGATAAATGATAAGATACATAGTTTCAGAAAATCTCCTATATATCTATAGTGTGCCAACTGTATCATAAATTAATAAATACCCTAAAAATAAAC